ATCTCTATGCAAAATATTTTCGTTATGTAAGTAATTTAATCCTTCAGCAATTTGAAATGCTAATTTTTTCTTATTATCCCAAGTTAAATTTTTAAAATTCAAGATAATTTTGAAGATCACCATCATTAGCATATTGCATTATAAGAAGATAATCTTCGTGATCTATAAAGAATATAAGGAATGGAATTTTTATAATAATTATAAATTACCTTTACTAATACCAAAACAACGAACAATTCGATCACTAAAATCAAGATGTAAATGGATTTTTAATTCATGAATAAAAGCATCTAATATACTACCTTTAATAGATTGTGTATTAGTTAATTTTTTATAAACAATACATGTTCCTGTTGTAATCCAAGTTGCTCTCATAATAGATCCAAATCCTCCAGTAGTAAGTTGTTTAGAATTTATTAATTTATTAAATGGTATAAATTTAACTTCTTTACTTTTTAATGCATTTTCTATCCATTTATATGCATTATCCTTATAAAATTTATCAGATTCTGTAACTTATATCATTAATAAAAAAAATTTATATATATATTAATAAATATTATATTTCATATTTTAATATAAAATATATTAAAAACAAATAATTAATTAAAAAAACTTACTAACTATAATCTATAATTTTATTTAAACAAAATTTTTAGTTGATGATAAATTACAGCAAAAAGTATAATTAAATTCTAATAATCAATAAAATAACTTACGATCTTTAATAATATTTTATTTTTAAATAAAAAATTTAGTTGAATTGAAATTACAATAAAAAGTATAATTAAAATACTAATAATCATAAAAATAATTTACCCCCTTTAGTTTTATAAATAAAAAATTTAGTTGAGTTTAAATTACAATAAAAAGTATAATTAAATACTTATTCTCAATCTTACAATTATTGCTTGACTGTTGATAAGAGTCAATACTATAATCAGAATCCATATCATAATCGCTGCTTTGTCCGTTATTCTAATCTCATCAGACAGCCTATCGAGTTTCTTGTTGTTCTCTCTAACTAAAGAAACCGTTGTGGCCAATACTTCAGCAAAGTCAATGTACGGAGCCGGAGCTGTTTGACGGGGGTTAAAACTTATACTGCGTTTCAATTGTTTTTTTGATAGTTTATCATCTACGGTATGTTTATGGGAATGTTTTTTATCGTGATATATGTAAGTATCATTGAATGGAGGTGTCAGTGATGCCAGCACAGCGGCAGCATCTGCAGGGGTGACAATTTTTGTTGGTGGCGGCATAGAGTTATAGTTGATATCCTTAAGTGGTTTTTTATCTGGTGATAATTAATAAAAATAACTTATGTTCTTTAGTAATTTTTTATTTTTTTAAATAAAATACGATATGTTTATGGGAATGTTTTTTATCGTGATATATGTAAGTACCATTGAATGGAGGTGTCAGTGATGCCAGCACAGCGGCAGCATCTGCACGGGTGACAATTTTGGTTGGTAGTGGCATAGAGTTATAATTGATACCCTTTGGTGGTTTTTCATCTGGTGATAATTAATAAAAATAACTTATGTTCTTTAGTAATTAGTAATATTTTATTTTTTTAAATAAAAATTTAATTGAGTTTAAATTACAATAAAAAGTATAATTAAATACTGATAATTAATAAAAATAACTTACGAACTATAATTTTATATTTAAATTAAATAAAAAAATTTAGTTGAGTTTAAATTACAATAAAAAGTATAATTAAATACTGATTATTAAAATCATATTTACTCTGATAAGATTCTATGTATTGAATTTATAACGAGAATAATTATTAATTATTAGGGTATCAGGTTTAATTTCAGAAAAACTTAATTAAATACGCTAAACTTCATACTCACCAACTTCGTCTACCTTTTTTTTATTGTTGGACATCGTTAGAAAATTAAAAAGTGCTTTTTTTTTTTTAATTGTCATAAAAAGTCGTACAATGCACATCAATTTCTAACAATCATGTAATTCGTCGATCATTTTCAGCACACTACATTAATATAAAATTCATTGAAACCTAAATTAATTTTCGACTTATCAAATGTTTTAGAGAATCGAAACACATTTGTCGATATTCGTGTTCATCAACACGCGAATTAAAAGGTTTCTCTGGACTATAACAGGTCAAGTGTATATTAAATAATGAGAAATCTTGTTTATTAATAAAAATACAGATTACCTATTCTATTATTTATTAATAATTATAAAACTTTCAAAAAAATATACGACTATGATAAAAATTCTCTTAAATTTTAAGATCGTAATCCTTTTGGGAATATAGGTCACATATCGTTGTTTTCAGTGCATGAAAAATAATAGAATCAATGTTGGAATTGAATTACTTATATTATTTTTTTACATACTCTAGAAAAGAAAAAATCAACGAAAGGGAAAGTTATGACCCAGTTTGATTCTCTCATAACTGAAAAACATTCTGCTATCCCATTTATTCCTCTTCGCTATTGAAAATGAATTGTTGCGCCACCCAGCTTGGTTCGTGCAAATGAGAATAGATTAACAAGTGCACTTTGAATACAATAGTTCAAACAAGGGAAATCATGTAAAACCATGAAATTCTGATTAAGTACATAGGGACTGTCTGACATCGCAACTTGATTGCAGAAATACTTTTATTAAGTAGAAACGGTCTCCTGATTTGACGACGTTAATAATTTGAATTATAATAGACAAGTTTCATAATAAATTTGTAAATTAATTCTTTGTAATTTTCTTGGGACTTTTAGGACCGCTTAGACAGCTTAACATCCCTATCGTCAATCATCGTTTTGATACATTTTAAAAAAAATTAGTAATAATGCAGTGAAATCTAGATTGACTACAAATCTCTCCATATTTCTTAAGACTAATTATGGATATAATTTAGTGGGACAAAATTTTTTTTTTTTGCGGTTTTAACAATTTCTAAAATAAATAAATAAATGAATTGATTATTTCAAGAATACTTTTTGATATTCTTTTTTTCATGATTTTCTGACACGAGTCGAGTATGTATTGCGATAAAAATATTTGCTTTGTTTAAATTGGACAAACAATTTTTGTTTTCGAAGCGAAAGCGGAGGACGTTTACGTTCTGTGCAAAAGGTTGAAATGTTGGTCGGTCACTATCAGTGATGGCAAATGACCCAAATGACCTCAAAGACTCAAATGACTGGTCATGTGTCATTTGGGTCATTTCAACATTAAATGGGTGTTTCTAGGAAAATCAGGTTCCGAAAAATTTTTGACTAAAATTAAAAGCTTAATACATTTTAATCTAATAACATCAAAAACTAAAATGCAATAAAAATCTCAATTTTGCTAAAAAATTCCCGGAACCTGATTTTCCTAGCAATCAACCCAAATGACAAATGACCAGGTCATTTAAAAATTATATCATGTGATCTCAATAATTCTGGCCAAAATAATTATGTATCAGAACATTTTCATAAATATTTCACGTGATATAAATTTGTAATTCTGGCCAGCATATAAAATTTGGCCTGTATTACATTTAAAATGACCAAATAACAAATGTCAGGTCATTCGAGGTCATTTCAAAATCGCTGGTCATTTGCCATCACTGGTCACTATAGATGTTACATGTGATTAGTGTAACCGGGTCTATTATAATCGGAGCATTATAGCTGCGAAAACTGTTTCTGAGCTGATTTACCAAATCGGGTGCCACTTGTTCGGTAACAAACGGTATCGAATACCGGTATGTATCTCCATGCTAGATATTGAAACTGGGGGCAAAACCCTAAATCCATTTTGGCAAAAGTCGAAACTTTTGAGATTATTTCGATAGTTTCTATGGGTTTCGATGGATTTCGACGGGTTTCGAGTCTCGAAAGTTTCGACAGCTTCGATAAAAACTTTGCGAATTTTGACGGTTTAACAAGTTTATTGTATCACATTGTAGAATACAGAATATAAAAACGATTTTTTTTTGCTTTTTATTTTAAATTAGAACAAAGTTTCCACAATAATACATTATTTATCGAGCAGGTTTAAATTTGGAAGCACTGGTACTTGTTGAAGAATTAGAAAAAATTACTTACTTTTGAAGAAGATGATGATAAAGGTTGGAACGGGTTTATTTTTTATATCCGGATTTATTAAACTTCCGTTTAAATGCATTTCCAATTTGTTTCATTTGTTTAATATGAGAAAAAAATTATGGTAAAGATTGTCTAAAGAAGTATTAAAATACATATATCTGTGTTGATTGGCGTCGAGAAATTTCAATCATTTGATTGGCACCGACATTTCCGAAATTTTCGAACAATCCGACATTGCCGATAAACTAAAATTTATGTCCCGCAACTTTTGATAGATGAATCGTTTAATTATTGTGCTGTATGAGAATCTTGTTCCAACCTCTAGAATATGATTTTTAAATGAAAGTTTAATGGATAAATACTGTCATGAGTTTAAATGAAGAAATATGAGAGATAAATGATGTAATTGGACTTGATTAAATTTATTATTATTTTTTTTTTTTTATTCTTTATAATGTACGATTTGCTCATCTCGTTAAACAAAAATAGTAAATTTTTAAATTCAAAAATTGTATTTTAATATCAGAAGGTTTC